TATTATACAATTTAATCCTCAAAACAAACCTATAACATGCATGAGCATCCACATTGGTTACATAAGGAAATTTAGGCTCAGTAATATTAAGCAACTTATCCAAGGCCATGCAGCTTTTAGTATGCTGCACTAAAACTCACATTTGTCTTTTTTACTAAATCATATAGGGCAACAGGTTTTTTTGTTTTTTTTTTAATACAGCATATGACCTTATTAGAAGGCTTCTAATTTCTACCTCTCCAAATCACCTGAGTAATCTCCTAAAATCACTTTACATTATCTCTAAAACCTTCAACAGCTTTCTGCTCTTTAATTTAGCAATCCACGTCCTCCTCAAACTGATTCTACCTATCACTACAGCCAGTCAACTCACTATCTGAGAAACACTGGCACCATCAACATCTGTGTATAAGAATTGCTTTTTTTAATTTTGTTGTTGTTGAGACTATACACAGCAAAACAGACACCAATTCAATCATTTTTACATGTACAATTCAGTGACACTGATTACTTTCTTCAAGTTGTGCGATCATTCTCACCCTCCTTTTCTGAGTTGTTCCTCACTGCTCCCTAAGGTTCCTATCTAATCTTTCAAGTTGCTGTTGTCACTCTGATCCCACAGAGATAGTTCTTTAAAGAGTATAATGCTCAAGGCAGACATTCTTTACTAGTTTAGCTAAACTATTATCTGGTTTTAAGACTTCAGGGGATATTTTTGGTTTAAGTTTTAAAGATTATCTCAGGGCAGTAGTTTCAGGGGTTCATCAGCCCCACGGCTCCAGAAAGTCTGTAGAACTGCTTTGTTCTTAAAGTCAGTTTCATTTGAGCAGAAATTCACATCTGCTTAGGTAAAGTGGCTCAGCGGTTAAAGTGATCGACTGCTAACCAAAAGGTCGGCATTTTGAAACCACCAGCGCCTCCGAGGGAGAAAGATGTGGCAGTTTACTTCCATAGAGATTTACAGCCTTGGAATCCCTATGGGGTTGCTATGAGTCAGAATCAACTCGACAGCAGTGGGTAGGTAAAGCTAAAAGTACATTTACATCTACTTATTACATTTCTTAAGGATACATTTCTACCTGGTGTGTCTTCCCTTTCTCTCTCAAAAGATAAGGCCCCAGCTCCACTCTCAGGCATGACACCTTCCCCTGGGGCCCTCATCCTTATTATTTAGATCTCAGGGATCATTCTCTCTCTCATTTGAACTTCCTTTTAAAAGTATGCATTTGGCATACACCATATACTTCCTTAAATATATTTAATGTTTGTGTATTCCAACTCCTCAGCTACACTGAGTGAATTCTGACAGTAGAACTCTTGATTTATTCCTCCACCATCACACATTTATATCGGACACTACAGGTTCCAGAGATCATTCACATATATAGTCTCATATGAGTCTCCCAATAACCCTGTGATGTAGCTGCCGGCAACCCTAATATTACAGATGAAGAAAGGGAAGTTTAGTGAGGTAACTGACTTGCCAGGCTTCCTATAGTTTGAAAGTAGCAGAGCTACTTCAAAGTCCAAATCTTATGACCCTCAAGTCCAGGTTCTTTCAACAACACAATAATGCCACGTACTTTTCAGTAATCATTGCCTTAGCAGAATGCCCTTGCTTAATGTTTGTTAGTGATAATCCAAAGAGAGGGAATAGCAAGAGCAGTTAGTGGGATAGGGTGAACACACAACACTTGAGGACTGTGCGGTGCTCACCTAGCAGGAAGGCAGGATTTGTGCAGCAAATGATATCAATTCCCAAGACTCACGTCTTAGAGCAATTTACCATTCCAACCCCCAGAACACATTCCTGTCTCTTAAGAGGGATCAAGAGTGTGAGAACCATATAACTGAAAACCAATGATTCACAGTGACCTTACAGAACAGAGCAGAACTGCCCTGTAAGGTTTTAAAGGCTGTTTAAATCTTTATGGAAACAGACTATCACATCTTTCTCCCGTGGAGCAACTGGTGAGCTCAAACTGCCATCCTTTCAGTTAGTAGCTGAGCGCTTAACCACTGCCCTAAGATGTGGATCTGAATCCCTCCATATGATCACATATTCACTTCTTAAGTACTTACCATATGTCAGGCACTGTGAAAGTCTGAAAGCTGTTTTCAAGTCAAAAATCCTGACTGTTTAACTATATTCAGGACATCATGCCTAACACTTTTTAGCAAATTGGCCCAGGACCCTACTGGAAGTGGAAGGCACCTTAGAGTGCATTAAAGCCAAATTCCTCATTTTACAAATGAGGAAACAGACAGATGGATGGCAGCATATTTCAAGGTTACACAGTTAATTAGAGGCAGAACCAGTCAATGCTAGGACCCAGATCTCCACGCAGAACCAGTACTGTTTCTTCCAAGATGCTGCACAATGGGCAAGAAGGGCCAATCCAAGAGTTTTCCTTTTTAAAGCCCTTGTTTCTAGGCTCGAAGTAACAAAAAAAAAAAAAAAAAAAAGAGTGGAGGAAGAAACAAACATGAGCAGGCAGCAGGCTCAAGAATCCAATTTACACATAGTGCCTGGGGTCTTAAAAGCCTGCAAGAGGCCATTCAAGGCATGACAATTGATCTCTATTCAGCTGGATCGACAGAAGAAGGGTCAGGAATAAACCAAAAAACTCACTGCCCTCCAACTCACAGGGACCCTACAGGACAGAGAAGACCTGCCCCATAGGGTTTCCAAGGCTATAAATCTTTATGGAAGCAGACTACCACATCTTTCTCCCATGGAGCGGGCTGGTGAGTTTGAACTGCCAAGCTTTTGGTTAGCAGCCAAACGCTTTAACCACTGTGTCACCAGCACTCCTCGAGTCAGGAATACGAGGAGGATATGGAATGTGTGGCTAATTGCCTCCATGAAAACTGCCTCTTTTGCCATGAGCCCAGAAGAACTAGATGGTACCCAGCCACCATTACTGAACATTTTGATCAAATATTCTAGAGAAGAATCCTGATCAAAAGGGGGGAACTGCAGAACAGAATTTCAAATTCTCATGGACTCCATACTTTCTGGAGCTATGAGGGTTAGATGAACCCTTGAAACTATTGCCCTGAGATAATCTTTAAAACTTAAACCAAAAATATCCCCTAAAGTCTTCTTAAAACCAAACAATGTTGTTGTTAAAAAACCAAAAACCAAACCTGCTGCCGTGGAGTTGATTTCGACCCATAATGACCCTACAGGACAGAGCAGAACTTCCCCACAGAGTTTCCTAGGAGCACCTGGTGGATTCGAGCAGCTGACCTTTTGGTTAGCAACCCTACCACTTAACCACTACGCCACCAGGGTTTCCATCAAATCTGTTCCAACTCATAGCAACCCAGTGTACAACAGAACAAAACACGGCCTGGGCCCTCACAATCATTGCTATGTTTGAGCCCATTGTCGCAGCCATTGTATCAATCCATCTCATTGAGGGTCTTCCTCTTTTTCCCTGACCGTCTACTTTGGCAAGCATGATGTCCTTCGCCATTAACTGATCCCTCCTGATAACATGTCCGAAGTATGTAAGACGAAGTCTCACCATCCTCCCTTATAAGGAGCATTGTGGCTATACTTCTTCCAAGACACATATGTTTGTTCTCCTGGCAGTCCATAGTATACTGGATATTCTCTGCCAACACCATAATTCAAAGGTATCAATTCATCTTCAGCCTTCCTTATTCATTGTCCGGCTTTTGCGTGCAAATGTGGTGATTGAAAATACCATGGCTTGGGTCAGGAGCAACTTAGTCCTCAAGGTGACATCTTTGCTTTTTAAAACCAAACAACAGTTTAGCTAAACTAGTAAAAAATGTCTGCTTTGAACATCATGCTCTTTCAAGAATTATCTATATGGGATCAGAGTGATGACAGCAACTCAAAAGATTAGATAGGAATCTTAGGGGGCAGTGAGTTTATGTAATGGGGGAGGCACTCAGAAAAGGCGGGTGAGAATGATTGCACAACTGGAAGAATGTACAGTGTCACTAAATTGTACATGTAGAAACGGCTGACTTGGTTTATGTTTTGCTGTGTATATTCTCAACAACAACAAAATAAATTTTAGTAAAATTAGATGACATTACACATCTAATTGACTAAACTGCATTAGATGACATCTTGAAATCTTTTTCTGGGCTATGATACTACAGCAAACTTTTTTTTTTTTTTGGTGTAACAGCTTCATTGAGATATAATTCACACACCATACTCATCACTCATTTCAAGTGTACCGTATATTCACAGAGTTGTATAACCATCACCACAAACAACTTTAGAACATTTTCATCACCCCAAAAGGAGATCCTATACCTTTTGGCAGTCACTACCCATTTCCTCACAAACTCCTCCCCCCAGGAAACGACTTTCAGAAAAAAAAAAAAAAAAAAAGATCCAATTTACCCAGTGCACTTGGTGACAGGTGGGGGAGAATTCGGGGAAGTCGAGAAGAAAAAGATAAATCTTCAAGGATTCCTTCCTGCCAGCCCAGTAGCGGAGGTCAATACTCAAATAAATAGTCTCAGTATTCAGCATATGGTGATAGAAAGTTCAGTAAGCACAAGTACAAGGAAAGGTTTGGAATCCGTAGTTGCGCCCAGGATGCGGTGGGGCAGGTGGAGATTTGGGGAATACTGATTTTGAGTAACTGCTTTCACACCTTCGGGCTTCAGTTTTCCCCGTCTGTGAAATGGGCACATTTAACAGTAGCCCCCAGCACCAAGGGGGAAAAGCGATGACTGGCACTAAAATGTGGGAATATCAGGTTATCCAAAGAAGCTATGGTGGGCAGCGGTAAAACCCAGGAACACTTACGAGAAGGAAAGAATATCTTAAGAGGGCCTGGATCTCAGGTGTGTGGAGACTGCGGGTTACAAGTGCCTGTCGGGTTCCCACGGCGGGCCAGCGAGGGTGCCCCCCATAGAGGCCGCAGAAGGTGAGGGGGACGTAAAGGTGGGCTCACCGCCTCCCGGACCTCCCCCAACCTCGACCGCGAAAGCTAGCTCCTCACCTTATCCAACAAGCCACTGCGGTTACTGCTTGTCCCGCTGCTGGGGCCACCGCCAGCCCCACTACTGCCTCCGCCGCCACCACTCCTCCCACCCGGTGCAGCCGCCGCCGCCATCTTGTCTGCCTCTGCTTTACCCTCCCCACCGACTTGTCCAAAGCCGATTGGCTGAAACGGACGGCGTGACGCGCCTCGAGGAGTTCATCGGGATACGTAGTTCCGGGTTGCTGACGCGGGTTTGCAAGCGGAAGTGGCCGCGGGGTGTGCCGGGACTTGTAGTTAGAAGCTCCTGCCGCCGGTTGCCGCCTACACGGCCAGCGCTGCGTCGCGGTTACTAAGGGGTGGGGAAGATAGTGGCCGGCGCCACCGTGGAGCGGCTCCGAGATCCCCGGGAGGTTCGCAGGCGCGCATCCCGCCTGACCGGGACGTCGCCTCCGCGGACGGCTCGGAGGCGTAAGCGACGCCGGAGGCAGGTGTGGCTGGAAACTTAGGTTGCGTGAGGAATTGGGGTCTTCCCCCGCCCCAGGTGTAGCGTTTCCAAGGAGGCGGGGAAGACCTTGTCCTTCAGCCTTTTTTTATCCCTTTTACTGCACTACCGATTATTCTCTCCAATGACTGTCATTTTAGCTGCTAGTAACGTTTTCGTATTATAGAGAATTCACGTTTACTAAGTGCGTACTGAGTGCCCGGCAGTGTGGTATTTGCATTTACATCCATCTTCTCTTTTCGTCCCTTAACAGCCCTGCCAGATGAAGAACGTAGCCAAGGCCAGTTAGCATGTATCAGAACCCGATTTCGAAGTCAGGTTTTTCTGACATCAAAACCCATGGTATTCCACATATCCAAAAAGAAGAAAGGGCCATAATCAAAACATTAACCCTACAACTGGAATAAGTAGAAAGAGAGCAGCAAAAGAAGCCTTAAGGCGCCAGAAGAAAGGAAATAGTAAGAATTAGAGCAGCATTATAATACAGTGTGGTAGAGTGCCTCCATTAAGAGGTGGGCCTGAGGTACAGAGGCTGGTCAACATGGGGAGGGAGAGATATGGGACAGCTATCTGTATGAGCTGGGCAAAAAAGAGGGACAGAAACGTGATAGGCCAAAGGAATGGAACAAGTAAATGTAGGCAGATAAGAAGCATTATTTTGTGTGAGTGGGTGGGTGAGTGAGTGTGTGTTTTGTAGCTGGGAAGCACTACAGATTGGCATTAGCTGCCTCCAGTTTGAGGATTTTTGCGTCAATGTTCATGAAGGATATTGGTCTGTAATTTTCTTTTTTTCTGGTGTCTTTACCTGGTTTTGGTAT